GCGGCTGCATTCTGGACCAGCTGGAGTCTCCGAACACTCTTCAAGGGCTGCCCCATGTAGAACGTATAGACTGCAGTGTTGTGATTAGAAATTAAGAGGGCTGTTACTACCATGTGTGCTTGGTGTTGTGGCCCGCAGGTGGCGCCAGAGGAGTTGGCAGCAGAGTCGGACAGTGAGGAGGTTGGTGGCGGGGGAGGAAAGCTCAGACGAGGGCTCTGCGTCGGAGGCAGAGAAGGGAGTAAGACAGCAATGAGGCAGAAGAACAGCTGGAGCCTGTTCCCGGTGTGTGCATGCGCAGAGTGGCCAGGCAAAGGGAGCAGCTATAGAACTGCAGTAGTGGGTTCACCGGCAAACGCGCGCCCGACAAAACCGCGGCGACAAAACCGCGACGTCAAAAGCCGGCCACAAAAGCGCGCCGACAGATGCGCACCATCAACAAACAACATAGTGGGACACGAAAACAACGTTATAACCCTAGCCCTAATCGCGCTTTTGTGGGCGCGGTTTTGTCGGGCGCGCATTTGTCAGGTCACGGCAGTAGTGAAAGGTTGAAGGACTTAGAAGTGGGACTTGGCTAAGCAGAAGCAGACTGGGAAGAAGAAACGTCAAGGAATCCAGATAACATAAATCAGTCTTGGGGGGTGAGGTGGGGGGAGAATGAAGCGACTTCTTGCAAGAATGAGCGTTATCAGGAGAGAGCTTTGAAGAAATCTTAATGCTTAATTAAAGCTTTAGGTCATTGTCCTAAATACTGCGCCAACGTGTCCATAAAATCACCAGACTCAAATCGCTTGACTCAACGGAGAAATTATGCACATATATTTTACGATCAGATGCAGAAGCAGGAAATTATGAGAAAGCCCTAGGTAATAAAAAGATAATCACACTGGACTAGACATATCCAACTCCTCCGATTCTTTTTCATACGTTTCAGCCTCCAGATCCCCTAATTCTCTTTGTTGCTCTTCTCTGCGCCCTTTCCAAAGTCTCAACATCTTTTTTTAATATCGTGGCAACCAAAACTGGATGCAGGATTCCAAGCGTGGCATTATAAAGTGGTACTAACACTTCACGTGATCTTGAGCCAATCTTTCTATTAATACAGCCTAGGATTGTGTTAGCTTTTTTGGCGGCGGCTGCACACTGCTGGCTCATATTTAAGTGATTGGCCACTAGGACAATCACTTAATTACGTACGTACGTATGTATGTATCTATGTATGTAAAGATTCCCCTCGCACGTATAGTCTCTCCCAATTCTAGGGGGCGGTGCTCATCTCCGTTTCAAAGCCAAAGAGCCAGCGCTATCCGAAGACGTCTCCGTGGTCATGTGGCTGGCATGACTCAACACCAAAAGTGCACGGAACATTCCCTTCTCACCAAAGGGGTTTCCTATTTTTCCACTTGCATTTCTTATGTGCTTCCGAACTGCTAGCAGAAGCTGGGACAAATAACGGGAGCTCACTCCGTTATACGGCACTAGGGATTCGAACCGCTGAACTGCCAACCTTTCTGATCGACAAGCTCAGCATCTTAGCCACTGAGTCACCGCATCCCTATATAAGTTATGTTATTAAACTGGTTCACCGACAAAACCGCGCCCGACTAAACCGCGTCGCTGACGTCATCAACAGGGCGACAACAGCGCGGAGACAGAAGCAC